AGGTGGTTGACTCTGCTGTGAACTAAAACTAGTGATTATTTTACGCTACAAGGTTGTTTGCTCTTCTGTGAACTATAACGAGTCATGATTTTACACTATAAGGTTGTTTACTCTACTGTAAACTATAACTAGTGATTATTTTATACAAAAAGGGAGTTGACTTTGCTGTGAACAAAAACTAGTGATTATTTTGCGCTACAAGGTTGTTTACTCTTCTGTGAACTATAACGAGTCATGATTTTACACTATAAGGTTGTTTACTCTACTGTGAACTATAACTAGTAATTATTTTACTCTACAATGTTGTTGAACCTGCTATAAACTATAACTAGTAATTATTTTATACAAAAAGGTAGTTGACTCTGCTATGAACTACAACTAGTTTGCTGTGAACAAAAACTAGTGATTATTTTACGCTACAAGGTTGTTTACTCTACTGTGAACTATAACTAGTGATTATTTTATACAAAAAGGTAGTTGACTTTGCTGTGAACAAAAACTAGTGATTATTTTACGCTACAAGGTTGTTTACTCTTCTGTGAACTATAACGAGTCATGATTTTACACTATAAGGTTGTTTACTCTACTGTGAACTATAACTAGTGATTATTTTATACAAAAATGTAGTTGACTCTGCTATGAACTACAACTAGTGATTATTTTACGCCACGAGGTGGTTGACTCTGCTGTGAACTATAACTAGTAATGATTTTACACTACAAGGTTTTCTACGCTACAAGGTTGTTCACTTTGCTATGAACTATAATTAGTGTTTATTTTACGCTACAAGATGTTTGACTCTGCTATGAACTATAACTAGTGATTATTTTACACAAAAAGGTAGTTGACTCTGCTATGAACTACAGCTAGTGATTTGTTTACGCCACGAGGGGGTTGACTCTGCTGTGAACTAAAACTAGTGACTATTTTACGCTACAAGGTTGTTAACTCTGCTGTGAACTACAACTAGTAATTATTTTATTCAAAAAGGTTATTCACTCTGCTGTGAACTATAACTAGTAATGATTTTACGCTACAAGGTTGTTTACTCTACTGTGAACTATAACTAGTAATTATTTTACGCTACAAGGTTGTTGACTCTGCTGTGAACTATAACTAGTATATTGTTCTACGCTACAAGGTTGTTCACTTTGCTATGAACTATAATTAGTGTTTATTTTACGCTACAAGATGTTTGACTCTGCTATGAACTATAACTAGTGATTATTTAAGGCTACAAGGTTGTTAACTCTGCTGTGAACTGCAACTAGTAATTATTTTATTCAAAAAGGTTATTCACTCTGCTGTGAACTATAACTAGTAATTATTTTACGCTACAAGGTTATTTACTCTACTTTGAACTATAGCTAGTAATTATTTTACTCTACAATGTTGTTGACCCTGCTATGAACTACAACTAGTGATTATTTTATACAAAAAGGAAGTTGACTCTGCTATGAACTACAACTAGTGATTTGTTTATGCCACGAGGTGCTTGACTCTGCTGTGAACTAAAACTAGTGTTTATTTTACGCTACAAGGTTATTGACTCTGCTATGAACTATAACTAGTGATTATTTTATACAAAAACGTAGTTTACTCTGCTGTGAACTAAAACTAGTGATTATTTTACGCTACAAGGTTGTTGACTCTGCTGTGAACTATAACTAGTATATTGTTCTACGCTACAAGGTTGTTCACTTTGCTATGAACTATAATTAGTGTTTATTTTACGCTACAAGATGTTTGACTCTGCTATGAACTATAACTAGTGATTATTTAACGCTACAAGGTTGTTAACTCTGCTGTGAACTACAACTAGTAATTATTTTATTCAAAAACGTTATTCACTCTGCTGTGAACTAGAACTAGTAATTATTTTACTCTACAAGGTTGTTGACCCTGCTGTGAACTACAACTAGTAATTATTTTATTCAAAAAGGTTATTCACTCTGCTGTGAACTATAACTAGTAATGATTTTACGCTACAAGGTTGTTTACTCTACTGTGAACTATAACTAGTGATTATTTTATACAAAAACGTAGTTTACTCTGCTGTGAACTAAAACTAGTGATTATTTTACGCTACAAGGTTGTTTACTCTACTGTGAACTATAACTAGTGATTATTTAAAAAAAAAGGTAGTTGAATCTGCTATGAACTACAGCTAGTGATTTGTTTACGCCACGAGGTGGTTGACTCTGCTGTGAACTAAAACTAGTGATTATTTTACGCTACAAGGTTATTGACTCTGCTATGAACTATAACTAGTGATTATTTTATACAAAAAGGTAGTTGACTATGCTATGAACTACAACTACTGATTATTTAACGCTAAAAGATTGTTTACTCTGCTGTGAACTACAACTAGTGATTTGTTTACGCCACGAGGTGGTTGACTCTGTTGTGAACTACAACTAGTGATTTGTTTACGCCACGAGGAGGTTGACTCTGCTGTGAACTACAACTAGAGATTATTTAACGCTACAAGGTTGTTTACTCTACTGTGAACTATAACTAGTAATTATTTTACGCTACAAGGTTATTGACTCTGCTATGAACTATAACTAGTGATTACAATAACTAGTATATTATTTTACTCTACAATGTCGTTGACTCTGCTGTTATTTATAACTAGTGATTATTTTACGTTACAAGGTTGTTGACCCTGCTATAAACTATAACTAGTGATTATTTTATACAAAAAGGTAGTTGACTATGCTATGAACTACAACTACTGATTATTTAACGCTAAAAGATTGTTTACTCTGCTGTGAACTACAACTAGTAATTATTTTATTCAAAAAGGTTGTTCACTCTGCTGTGAACTATAACTAGTAATTATTTTACGCTACAAGGTGGTTGATTCTGCTGTGAACTATAACTAGTAAATAGTTTTAGTCTACAAGGTGGTTGACCCTGCTATGAACTATAACTAGTAATTATTTTATGCAAAAAGGTAGTTGACTCTGCCATGAACTACATCTAGTAATTATTTTACGCTACAAGGTTGTTGACTCTGCTATGAATTAGAACTAGTAATTATTTTCTCTACAGTGTTGTTGACCCTGCTATAAACTATAACTAGTGATTAATTTATACAAAAAGGTAGTTGACTCCGCTGTGAACTAAAACTAGTGATTATTTAACGCTACAAGGCTGTTAACTCTGCCGTGAACTACAACTAGTAATTATTTTATGCATAAAGGTAGTTGACTCTGCCCCGAACTACATCTAGTAATTATTTTACTCTACAATGTTGTTGACCCTGCTATGAACTATGACTAGTAATTATTTTATTCAAAAAGGTTGTTCACTCTGCTGTGAATTAGAACTAGTAATTATTTTACTCTACAAGGTTGTTTACCCTGCTATGAACTATAACTAGTGATTATTTTATACAAAAAGGTAGTTGCCTCTGCTATGAACTATAACTACTGATTATTTTATACAAACAGGTAGTTGCCTCTGCTATGAACTATATTCACTCTGCTGTGAACTAGAACTAGTAATTATTTTCTTCAAAAAGGTTATTCACTCTGCCGTGAACTACAACTAGAAATTATTTTATCCCAAAAGGTTGTTCACTCTGCTATGAATTAGAACTAGTAATTATTTTCTCTACAATGTTGTTGACCCTGCTATAAACTATAACTAGTGATTATTTAACGCTACAAGGTTGTTGACTCTACTGTGAACTATAACTAGTGATTATTTTTTTAAAAAAGGTAGTTGACTCTGCTATGAACTACAGCTAGTGATTTGTTTACGCCACGAGGTGGTTGACTCTACTATGAACTAAAACTAGTGATTTGTTTACGCCACGAGGTGGTTGACTCTGCTGTGAACTATAACTAGTGATTATTTAACGCTACGAGGTTGTTTACTCTGCTTTGAACAATAACTAGTATATTATTTTACTCTACAATGTCGTTGACTCTGCTTTAAATTATAACTAGTGATTATTTTACGTTACAAGGTTGTTGACCCCGCTATAAACTATAACTAGTGATTATTTTATACAAAAAGGTAGTTGACTCTGCTATGAACTACAACTACTGATTATTAACGCTAAAAGATTGTTTACTCTGCTGTCTACAACTAGTGATTATTTTATACAAAAAGGTAGTTGACTCTGCTATGAACTATAACTAGTATATTTTTCTACTCTACAAGGTGGTTGACCCTGCTATGAACTATAACTAGTGATTATTTTACGCTACCAGGTTGTTGACTCAGCTGTAAACTATAACTAGTCATTATTTTACGCTACAAGGTTGTTGACCCTGGTATGAACTATAACTAGTGATTATTTGATACAAAATGTTGTTGACTCTGCTGTGAACTGCAACTAGTGATTATTTTACCCTTCAAGGTTGTTGACTCTACTATGAACTATAACTAGTGATTATTTTACGCTACAAGGTTGTTGACTCTGCTATGAATTACAACTAGTGATCATTTTACGCTACACTGTTGTTGACTTTGCTGTGAACTATATATAACTAGTGATTATTTTGTGCTACTGGAATGTTCACTTTGAAATGAACTATAACTAGTGATTTGTTTACACCACGAGGTGGTTGACTCTGCTGTTAACCAATCTTGTGATAGTATTACTGACCCTAACCCTAACTAATCCCTGAAGTTTGTCGTAATGTTGCAGTTTGCTTTATTTTGGCATAGTTGTTGACATGAAACTAATCCAATATATGTTACTGAAATGAGTTTGATGGGTATATTTCCTTTTTTGCTTGACCCTACATATGTTTTGAACCCTGTTGAACATTGATTTGATGTTTGTTACCTCCGTACCCTTGATAACTGTACACAAATACCATATAGTGCAAATTACACAGCTTATTATAGTACATATAATTACGTGGCAGCTATTCATTAGTTATAATATTTTTTTACGTGATAACTAATTGTTATCAATAAAGATCTATCATGAAACAGTTTTGTTTGCTACCTAATAAGCGTAACTGTGAACCTATTACCTTGAACTCCATGCAGATGGTTCTCGCTTTTCGTGGCGTAGCATCCGGTATCGAGCAACTACAGCAGATGGACGCATAATGCGTAAACCAGAAAGCAAAATTCTGGAAAGATGATACATCTTTATAGTGCAAATATATATATAAATCCGTTCAGTGACTGTGCGGTGAAATGTAAGCGATTGAACAGGTTTAGAGGATAACATTGTCCACTTGCCATTGTACGAATACATGCTATAAATGCTATCAAAGTTATAATTGTATTATTTAGCTTACAGGAATCTTTTACATGAGTTTTTCTGGTCCGTCTTTTTAACATATCATTTTGCCATTTCAATTGAAACTCAAAATGTTACAGAATCAGTTTTATTGAAACATCGTTGAAACTATCAATGCATGAACCTGTATGTAGCCATTTGGGAACTTCTACCTGACCAGTGTTAACCTGTATGTTTGGGAACTTCTACCTGACCAGTGTTAACCTGTATGTTCGGGAACTTCTATCTGATTAGTGTTAACCTGTATGATTGGGAACTTCTACCTGATCAGTTTTAACCTGTATGTTTGGGAACTTCTACTTGACCATTGTTAACCTGTATGTTTGGGAACTTCTACCTGATCAGTGTTAACCTGTATGTTTGGGAACTTCTACCTGACCAGTGTTAACCTGTATGTTTGGGAGCTTCTACCTGACCAGTGTTAACCTGTATGTTTGAGAACTAAGAACCTGACCAGTGTTAACCTGTATGTTCGGGAACTTCTACCTGACCACTGTTAACCTGTTTGTTTGGGAACTTCTACCTGACCATTGTTAACCTGTATGTCTGGGAACTTCTACCTGACCAGTGTTAACCTGTATGTTCGGGAACTTCTACCTGACCACTGTTAACCTGTTTGTTTGGGAACTTCTACCTGACAATTGTTAACCTGTATGTCTGGGAACTTCTACCTGACCAGTGTTAACCTGTATGTTCGGGAACTTCTACCTGACCACTGTTACCCTGTTTGTTTGGGAACTTCTACCTGACCATTGTTAACCTGTTTGTTTGGGAGCTTCTACCTGACGATTGTTAACCTGTATGTTTGGGAACTTCTACCTGACCATTGTTTACCTTTATGTTTGGGAACTTCTACCTGATCAGTGTTAACCTGTATGTTTGGGAACTTGTACCTGACCATTGTTAACCTGTATGTTTGGGAACTTCTACATGACCATTGTTAACCTGTATGTTTAAGAACTTCTACCTGATCAGTCAAAATCTGTATGTTTGGGAACTTCTATCTGATCAGTGTTAACCTGTATGTTTGGGAACTTTTACCTTACCATTGTTAACCTGTTTGTTTGGGAACTTTTACCTGATCAGTGTTAACCTGTATGTTTGGGAACTTTTACCTTACCATTGTTAACCTGTATGTTTGGGAACTTCTACCTGATCAGTGTTAACCTGTATGTTTGGGAACTTCTCCCTGACCATTGTTAACCTGTATGTCTGGGAACTTCTACCTGATCAGTGTTAACCTGTATGTTTGGGAACTTCTACCTAACCATTGTTAACCTGTTTGTTTGGGAGCTTCTACCTGACGATTGTTAACCTGTATGTTTGGGAACTTCTACCTGACCACTGTTAACCTGTTTGTTTGGGAACTTCTCCCTGACCATTGTTAACCTGTTTGTTTGGGAGCTTCTACCTGACGATTGTTAACCTGTATGTTTGGGAACTTCTACATGACCATTGTTAACCTGTATGTTTAAGAACTTCTACCTGATCAGTCAAAATCTGTATGTTTGGGAACTTCTATCTGATCAGTGTTAACCTGTATGTTTGGGAACTTGTACCTGACCAGTGTTACCCTTTATGTTGCTGTATGTTTGGGAACTTCTCCCTGACCAGTGTTAACCTGTATGTTCGGGAACTTCTACCTGACCACTGTTACCCTGTTTGTTTGGGAACTTCTACCTGACCATTGTTAACCTGTTTGGTTGGGAGCTTCTACCTGACCATTGTTAACCTGTATGTTTGGGAACGTCTACCTGATCAGTGTTAACCTGTTTGTTTGGGAACTTTTACCTGATCAGTGTTAACCTGTATGTTTGGGAACTTTTACCTTACCATTGTTAACCTGTTTGTTTGGGAACTTTTACCTGATCAGTGTTAACCTGTATGTTTGGGAACTTCTCCCTGACCATTGTTAACCTGTATGTCTGGGAACTTCTACCTGACCAGTGTTAACCTGTATGTTTGAGAACTAAGAACCTGACCAGTGTTAACCTGTATGTTCGGGAACTTCTACCTGATCAGTGTTAACCTGTATGTTTGGGAACTTGTACCTGACCATTGTTAACCTGTATGTCTGGGAACTTCTACCTGATCAGTGTTAACCTGTATGTTTGGGAACTTTTACCTTACCATTGTTAACCTGTTTGTTTGGGAACTTTTACCTGATCAGTGTTAACCTGTATGTTTGGGAACTTTTACCTTACCATTGTTAACCTGTTTGTTTGGGAACTTTTACCTGATCAGTGTTAACCTGTATGTTTGGGAACTTGTACCTGACCATTGTTAACCTGTATGTCTGGGAACTTCTACCTGATCAGTGTTACCCTGTATGTTTGGGAACTTCTACCTGACCAGTGTTAACCTGTATGTTTGGGAACTTCTACCTGACCATTGTTAACCTGTATGTTTGGGATACTTCTACCTCACCATTGTTAAAATGGTCGGCACAAGGCTCTAGCCAAAGTCGTCAACATTAGCAGACTGAAATGGCAGACAAATATTTCGTTCGCTCAAATTGATGATTAAATCTGGTAGATATTGATACAATGATGCTTTTATATAGACACCACGGGTCATGATGTTGCAGACACATTTCAATTTCAATAGCCAAAATAATAAAGTTATCGTCTTAACATATATTGCGTTGGGTTCAAGGCAATCAACATTTGTTAATAACAAGTTTGAAAATAGTGCCATGTTCGCAGTTCATCTTTCAACGTGTATTTATTGTACACCATTTAATTTCAAACTAATACATGCAGTATATTAGCAGCTAGGTTAGGGTTAACTCTAACAGTTATTGAAAAAATAAGCTGATAATACGACATAGAGGTAAATAACTGTTGTTAAAGTATCTGCAGTGATTGGAAGTTTGGGTGGTAATACACGATCGACGTGTTAAATACGTTTCTTTAGAGAAAACATATCGTCGGTATATCAGAAATTGAATTCAGCATCATAATTAGGTAAAAATAAGCGTTGGCAATGTGAGGTTAAGCTTTATGTGAGAACGTATACAGATTTGTTTATGTCCACTTGTTGGGTAGTTGTGTACGATAGATTTCAATCCTTTGTAGGGGATGTTAGATATAAATTGAAATAATAGTTAATTATTAATATAATTCATTTTATACCTAGTAACAGTGAATATTTGATTTGTTTTTTGGGATAAATTACACTAATTGATGTGGTTTTGTTCAGGTAGAATACGTATGAAAGATCTGAGTTGATGCTGTATTTATATGTGCTAGCATGAGTATGTGCGGGTGGAAAACCTGCGAGAGCCAGAAGGCAGCGTATGGTATGTTATCTTCGTCGTGGCAGGGAGGGATCAAAATCTCAAAAAGGGTCACTAGGGTCAAGTTCAGCTGTTAGAATGACTGCCACGTGACAAGTAGTCAAAGCTTACTAAATTGAAATAATAGTTAATTATTAATATAATTCATTTTATACCTATTAACAGTGAATATTTGATTTGTTTTTTGGGATAAATTACACTAATTGATGTGGTTTTGTTCAGGTAGAATACGTATGAAAGATCTGAGTTGATGCTGTATTTATATGTGCTAGCATGAGTACTGTGTCATTCAGTAGTTTGGAAAAATAATACACAGGGGACTCGTCATTTGAATAAATAAATCAACACTGGGAGGCTGATTTGCTTTCAGTTTGTATAATGATAAGAGTAAGAATGGTAGAGAAAATGTTATTGAGTGTGAAAAGGTTCTATATGAATTGTTGATTGCGGTGGCTTTAACGTAAATTTTCAGGTTATTTTTCGAGAGAAGGACAAGCTAGTGTTTTATTTAAATGTCCCTATGTAAATACACCTGAATATTATTTTTCTATACTCTCAGTTTTCTAGTTTCTCTTATGTCAGGCCAAGTGTTGCACAATTCTCTTTACGTTTCATCACTGTTAATGTGATAGGGTAGGGTTAGGGGTGGAGTTGTAGGGGATATTTGTCCAAATACCGGTATCTGTATTTAAGTACAAAGGGATGTCAGATTCACGCATATAATCTTTCCGAATATATTCTCGTAGATATTTCAAAACGCATTAAAATAAGACACTAAAGCACCAAAAGTGATGGGTTACAAATTCAGTAGGTATTTTTGTGTGTGGAATGGTTTTGCGGGTAAAAAATAGCAAGCTATAACAAAGCGGGTTTGCTTTCTTTTTGTACTGAAATAGCACAGCATTAATAGTGAATGTCAGTTTCAAATATGCCTTACCTAAATTTGAGTCTTCAAAACAGATTAATTACAAACAATGAATTGAAAATAATCTATGCGAAGAAAACATAAGCGATGTTTCACTGCAAACTGTTCTACTGTGCATGGGTTAGGGTTCTATCGTTATTATCGTAACGAAAAATTGAAAAATAAAGCGCATTTTCTTTATGAACTTATTAAGGTTCAATGTACATTTTGAAGATCATTATAATATTATACCCCACGTATTCATCATGTATGCATCATACCACTTATGTAATAGCATTACTATACCTGTAAGCCATGTCGTCGTCTTCAGCACCCCAGCCCCAGTATTCATTAGAGTATCCATTAACCAAACGGAACTGTTCTGACGTCATAGCGAGTACACCACCAACAAGTAATTCATATTTCAATCTTCAAAATAAATTATACAGTCTTGTTAGAAATATGCATATAGTTATCAACATATATTATGCTTCAATGAAAGTATTTACATCAGCAGCAATATTCAAATTTATATAAGTATGTGTACATCAGCCAACAATAAACAATATATACATCAGACAATTCTGTTCAAGCGAGTTTCGATATTGAAAAGAATGGAATCTTATGTTTTGAGAAGAAACACACATTTCTTAATATATTTGAAAAATACATAAATGAATAAAAACAGACAAACTATATCTACATTTTTGTTAAATATGCAATCTATCTACCAAAAGATATAAAAATATTATCAATTGTTTTGCAGTACAAATAATAAAAGACAATCGAATGTAATAAAAAACCTTACGACGCAATATTTAGTGTGATACAAACTGGTCCTTACCCTTAACCAAATACTACATGGGACACATTAAGGCAATCCGAAAAAACTGCTCTTGATACAAAATTGTATAATTTATAGCTGTTCATACATCGTCTTATCCTATCATCGTCCCCTTATCTTATAGCTGTTCATACATTGTCTTGTCCTATCAGGGTCCCCTTATCTTATAGTTGTTCATACATTGTCTTATCCTATCATCGTCACCTTATCTTATAGTTGTTCATACATCGAATTATCCTACCATCATCCCCTTATATTATAGCTGTTCATACATCGGCTTATCCTAGCATCGTCCCCTTATCTTATAGCTGTTCATACATCGTCTTATCCTAGCATCGTCCCCTTATCTTATAGCTGTTCATACATTGTCTTATCGTATCATCGTCCCCTTGTCTTATAGTTGTTCATTCATCGTCTTATCATATAATCGTCCCCTTATCTTATAGTTGTTCATACATCGTCTTATCCTATCATCGTCCCCTTATCTTATAGTTGTTCATACATTGTCTTATCCTATCATCGTCCCCTTGTCTTATAGTTGTTCATAAATCGTCTTATCATAAAATCGTCCCCCTATCTTATAGTTGTTCATACATCGTCTTATCATATAATCGTCCCCTTATCTTATAGCTGTTCGTACATCGTCTTATCCTAGCATCGTCCCCTTATCTTATAGCTGTTCATACATTGTCTTGTCCTATCAGGGTCCCCTTATCTAATAGTTGTTCATACATCGTCTTATCCTATCATCGTCACCTTATCTTATAGTTGTTCATACATCGTCTTATCCTATCAGCGTCACCTTATCTTATAGTTGTTCATACCTGTAATGATACATCGAATTATCCTACCATCGTCCCCTTGTCTTATAGTTGTTCATAAATCGTCTTATCATAAAATCGTCCCCCTATCTTATAGTTGTTCATACATCGTCTTATCCTAGCATCGTCCCCTTATATTATAGCTGTTCATACATCGTCTTATTATATAATCGTCCCCTTATCTTATAGCTGTTCGTACATCGTCTTATCCTTGCATCGTCCCCTTATCTTATAGCTGTTCATACACCGTCTTATCCTAGCATCGTCACCTTATATTATAGCTGTTCATACATCGTCTTATCCTATCATCGTCCCCTTATCTTATAGCTGTTTATACATCGTCTTGTCCTACCATCGTCCCCTTATCTTAGAGCTGTTCATACATCGTCGTATCCTATCATCGTCCCCTTATCTTATAGCTGTTCATACATCGTCTTATCCTAGCATCGTCCCCTTATCTTATAGCTGTTCATACATCGTCTTAACCTAGCATCGTCCCCTTATCTTATAGCTGTTCATACATCGTCGTATCCTATCATCGTCCCCTTATCTTATAGCTGTTCATACATTGTCTTATCCTATCATCGTCCCCTTATCTTATAGCTGTTTATACATCGTCTTGTCCTACCATCGTCCACATATCTTATAGCTGTTCATACATTGTCTTATCATTTCAATCCCCTTGTCTTATAGTTGTTCATACATCGTCTTATCATATAATCGTCCCCTTATCTTATAGCTATTTATACATCGTCTTATCCTATCATCGTCCCCTTATCTTACAGCTGTTTACACATAGTCTTATCCTATCATCGTCCCCTTATCTTATAACTGTTCATACATCGTCTTGTCCTACCATCGTCCCCTTATCTTATAGCTGTTCATACATCGTCTTGTCCTACCATCGTCCCCTTATCGTATAGCTGTTTATACATCGTCTTGTCCTACCATCGTCCCCTTATCTTAGAGCTGTTCATACATCGTCGTATCCTATCATCGTCCCCTTATCTTATAGCTGTTTATACATCGTCTTGTCCTACCATCGTCCCCTTATCTTATAACTGTTCATACATCGTCTTATCATATAATCGTCCCCTTATCTTATAGCTATTTATACATCGTCTTATCCTATCATCGTCCCCTTATCTTACAGCTGTTTACACATAGTCTTATCCTATCATCGTCCCCTTATCTTATAACTGTTCATACATCGTCTTGTCCTACCATCGTCCCCTTATCTTATAGCTGTTTATACATCGTCTTATCCTATCATCGTCCCCTTATCTTATAGTTGTTCATACATCGTCTTATCCTATCATCGTCTACTTATCTTACAACTGTTCATACATCGTCTTATCATATCATCGTCCCCTTATCTTATAGCTGTTCATACATCGTCTTATCCTATCATCGTCCCCTTATTTTATAGCTGTTCATACATCGTCTGATCCTATCATCGTCCCCTTATCTTATAGCTGTTCATACATCATCTTATCCTATCATCGTCCCCTTATCTTATAGCTGTTTATACATCGTCTTGTCCTACCATCCATCGTCCCCTTTTCTTAAAGCTGTTTATACATCGTCTTGTCCTACCATCGTCCCCTTATCTTATAGCTGTTTATACATCGTCTTGTCCTACCATTGTCCGCTTATCTTATAGTTGTTCATACCTGTAATGCATCTCATCAACAGCAACTGAAAGGTGAGTGGGTTGCCATGGACAGGAATACAGGTTTCTGTCATTTTCAGGCACTAGATCAACATCATGGAAAATCACACAATGGAAGTGATAGCGTTTAGTTGCCTCTAAAAACGCAGCATTCATCAGTCGCCCTTTATTAAACGTTGCATTACCAAACTGCAACAAAACAGTATGAGAATTCTGTCAATGTTTTTTTTTCGAATGACATTCGCAATATATATAATGTTATACATAAACAGTTGATACGCAATAACGTTCCGTTTAGGATAGTTGTCACTTACCCACTTTCCTCATTGGGTACCTAACATTTTTGTTGTGGGTAAAGCAGAAGTCTCCTACCCTTCAGTGGTCGCCACTGATATCATTCTGTTGTTAATAGTGTGGCCTAGTTACTGAACATCGATGTCTGTACTGAACATACCTATCACTTACCCTTCAATGGTCGCCACTGATATCTTTCTGTTGTTTATAGTGTGGCCTAGTTACTGAACATCGATGTCTGTACTGAACATACCGATCACTAACCCTTCAGTGGTCGCCACTGACATCATTTTGTTGTTTATAGTATGGCCTAGTTACTGAACATCGATGTCTGTACCGAACATACATATCACGTACTATTCAGTGGTCGCCACTGATATCTTTCTGTTGTTTATAGTGTGGCCTATTTACTGAACATCGATGTCTGTACCGAACATACCTATCACTTACCATTCAGTGGTCGTCACTGATATCTTTCTGTTGTTAATAGTGAGGCCTAGTAACTGAACATCGATGTATGTACCGAACATACCTAGCATTTACCCTTCAGTGGTCGCTCCTGATATCTTTCTGTTGTTTATAATGTGGCCTAGTTACTGAACATCGATGTCTGTACCGAACATACCTATCACGTACCCTTCAATGGTCGCCACTGATATCTTTCTGTTGTTAATAGTGTGACCTAGTTACTGAACATCGACGTCTGTACCGAACATACCTATCACTAACCCTTCAGTGGTCGCCACTGATATCTTTCTGTTGTTTATAGTGTGGCCTAGTTAGTGAACATCGATTTCTGTACTGAACATACCTATCACCTACCCTTCAGTGTTCGCCACTGATATCTTTCTGTTGTTAATAGTGTGACCTAGTTACTGAACATCGATGGCTGTACCGAACATACCTATCACTAACCCTTCAGTGGACGCCACTGATATCTTTCTGTTGTTTATAATGTGGCCTAGTTACTGGACATCGATGTCTGTACCGAACATACCTATCACGTCCCCTTCAATGGTCGCCACTGATATCTTTCTGTTGTTAATAGTGTGGCCTAGTTACTGAACATCGATGTCTGTACCGAACATACCTATCACTAACCCTTCAGTGGTCGCCACTGATATTACTCTGTTGTTTATAGTGTGGCCTAGTTAGTGAACATCGATGTCTGTACTGAACATACCTATCACCTACCCTTCAGTGGTCGCCACTGATATCTTTCTGTTGTTAATAGTGTGGCCTAGTTAGTGAACATCGATATCTGTACTGAACATACCTATCACGTGCCTTCCAGTGGTCGCCACTGATATTACTCTGTCGTTTATAGTGTGGCCTAGTTACTGAACATCGATGTCTGTACTGAACATACCGATCACTTTCCCTTCATTGGTCGCCACTGATATCTTTCTGTTGTTAATAGTGTGGCCTAGTTACTGAACATAGATGTCTCCACCGAACATACCTATCATTTACCCTTCAGTGGTCGCCACTGATATCTTTCTGTTGTTAATAGTGTGGCCTAGTTACTGAACATAGATGTCTCTACCGAACATACCTATCATTTACCCTTCAGTGGTCGCCACTGATATCTTTCTGTTGTTTATAGTGTGGCCTAGTTACTGAACATCGATGTCTGTTCCAAACATACCTATCACTTACCCTTCAGTGGTCGCCAATGATATCTTTCTGTTGTTAATAGTGTGGCCTAGTTAGTGAACATCGATGTCTGTACTGAACATACCTATTACTTACCCTTCAGTGGTCGCCACTGATATCTCTCTGTTGTTAATAGTGTGGCCTAGTTACTTAACATCGATGTCTGTACCGAACATACCTATCATTTACCCTTCAGTGGTCGCCACTGATATTACCCGAAGATGCCCCCGAAAGAAGTTGATTATTTGACTCTCACAGGGCACACTTTGTTGCCAGTAATGACTATTATTGTATGCGTCCAGATAACCCACATCAGTGTGCTATTGGCTACTATTGTACCCACAAGAAATGGTTGCCTGGCAAATAAGTTCCCTAACTGATCACGTGGCACCTTTGGTAGATATCGATAGCATGGCAAACGTGAGCGTGGTACATGTAGAATGTGTAGATTCGTGTCGATTTCATATGTACATACAGGGTAATATTTACATATTGTCACTATATAGCCTCTTTGAAAGCCGTGTCGTTAATGGGACTTAAATTACCATGCAGCACGGGACACAATTCTTAGCGTATTAATACAACACTGACCAGAACTACAATATCCAATGTAAATAAACATGACGGCTGCTGAAATATCGCTGGGCATTGAGAGACTTGACAATGTCATTGCAAATTTATGTGCAAAATAAAAAAAATGAAACAAAAAATACTTTTATTACAACGAAAACAAGACCAAGGTCTGCAATATCGTACAAAATGCACATCGGTTGAAATCACAAATGCCGGCAATGGAAATAGTTTTAACGCTCATGCAATTTATCAGAAATATCGTCTGTTACACTGCACTGATCAACAGGGGTTCGTTACAAATGTCTGAAATACACATATTCTATAGACCTACTGACACATATGTTACATACCTACTGATATTAGTCACAGCACACACATAAACATTTCAGACATCTCATTTGTAACGAACACCATGTGATCCGTCGCAAGATCACTCACTTCAAACGCTATCAGTTTCACGCGTCTCACAGCCACGGTTTCCTCAGTTTCTGACGACATGTCAAATAACAAGGCTGTTATAGAATCTACCGACTGTAGTCAGATTCCCACACAATCAACAAATAAATTCACGTCTGGATTCTTCAGAAAATGAGCAAAGAGAAAAATTTGAATTAAATTCCAAAAATAACTCCCTTGTGGAGGGCAAGGTCGGATTTACGGTATTCACTGTATTTATCCAAGCGCGAAATTTGTTCCGGGGAAAAATCGAAACAATTTCAAATCTAACTTTCAGCTCAGAGTTCTATTGATAAACTTAAATCACCATATAGAAATATCATACGCAATTGTATTGATACTGAATTGTGGAATAAAATTGAAGTGTTTGTTAAAATTCCAAAGTACCAATTTGTTTGCCAGTCAGCACGCGACAACACGCTGTTTCAACTATTGAACGAATTTGTGGGGACTGTCGATAAGGCGGGGATTTTAAATTTTAAATATAAATTATAAGTTAAAAAAGAACATAAGAGTCAGAGAAAACGTAAATATAAGTATTGAACTGTTTTTGTATGGTATTTATGATATATTTGAATGACACAGATTTGCAAGCAAACAACATAATGCCCGCCAGCTTAATGCTTAATTATTACCTTCCCTTCTCAGACGTTTGTTAAAAATTCGATTACTTTTTACAATCTAACTTTGTATAAAGGTCAGCATGGGTGGCTTTAACCAGCACCCCTACCGTGAAACGAATGGTCTGGATTAATTTGATAATTGAAAGCTCACTATACACGAGTTGCAAAACCTGCATTCTTCAAGAACAATAAACCATGTTATTAGAAATACTAATCGTAACCTGAGCAAAAGGCGTATAACAACACTGAACGTTAACGTACACCGTCACTACCAGCTTTAATTCTGAACCTTAACATAGCTCGGTGATTAACATACACGGTATTCCTTGCTTTAGATTCAACACTTACCTGACTACAAAACCATTAATGTCGTAAACCAATGACATCGAAAATATAACTACATGTACTTAACATCATATGATATAATCATAAACCTTCAACTCAAAACCAAAAAAGTTAATTCTAGACGTACCTGTTCGGCAACTAAAATCCTAAACTCCAATTGCTGACGTTGGAGCATTCCAACTAAATTTTGCAAAAGAATTGTCAAATGACGCCAGCGATCCCTAAATGGAATAACAATAAGCACGTGATGACGGGAGAGACAGGTTAAGGGTTTCCAGTAACCACGCGTTACGATCTCAGCAGCAAGTCTTGATGCCAGGCGACAGGTCGTGTCACACTTCTGGACGGAAATGTCACCAACTGTAAAATAAATAGTATTTGTTAATACGTTAAATGGTGATATAAAGGCAATCATCGGATACTGATTAGCTACGTTACATGGTGATATAAAGGCAATCATGGATACTGATGTAATTAGTTACATGGTGATATACAGGCAGGCG